AGGTATCAAACATAAGCAAAATATGGAACTTTTGGGTACGTTGGTAACCACAATTTCCAGAGCCCCATGACAGAAAAGGAGCTTGCATATGTAAGGTTTCTCATTAATGTTGTCTTTCAGATGAGAATTGTCGTTTATTTATCTGATATTGTTTAGTTTTTTGCTATCTTTTTTTTTAGTTGTATTAGTTTACCGATGAAAACCCATGCACGGTATGTAAGTCACACAGAGAGGACCAAGACCAAGAAAGAAATTTAAGGTAAGAATCATAAAAAAATCTCGGTTTCTTTCTCACCCGTTTCAGCGAAGACATCCACCTCGCAGAGTTGGAGGTTGTCCGCCCGTCCGATCAGCTGAATGGAGACGTACCGGCCGGTCATCGGCTGGTCGCAGTACACCACGACTGTCGCTCCATTCCGCGGAGTGGCCGTGTAAGTCTCCCCACACTGGTCATTCCGGGTGAAGTCCTCATTCGGGCCAACTCTCACCATAAAGTTTCTCAGTCGATCTCCTATATATGTACAAGACAATACAGGTTTACAAACGTAATTTACGGTAGTTTAGTATGCAGCGTTTATGGGACTTCTATCAATGAATACTATTTGTATTCTACAATGTACAAGTGAATAATAGTATCATTTGCTTGTGCGGATAGTCATTCTTGAATATCTTCTTGTTTCATATATCAAAGAGGTTAGCGGGCAGGTCAGTGCATATATACGGGCCTATTCACGTAGGCCCAGTCGACACGAATAGGCCTTCTTACCACTCGTTAGGTTACATGTATAGCAGTACTATTATATAAAACACTGTAACTATGAAATTTTCTCATTAATCATGCAAATTAAGTCCCCATTTGCATAATTTGCATTTAATTATGTACAACTCTCTCTCAGCTACCTACATACAATGATGAAAGTATGATGATCCTATCTGGACTTATTGGCTTTAAAAGTTTTTACCAGAAACTAACCTGCAGTTCCAGAACAAGCCGATAGGGGGATCAAACTTACACCACTTATTCCTGACAGGTACAACTACGGGTATTTAGGAAACCTTTCTTACAGCATACCTTTCCCCAAGCCGATGGACTTTACTGGCCTATCGGGACAGAAACGAAGTCAGACCGTAAAAAAAAAACGGTCCGACCCGCTAGCCTCGCCACGTCAAGCCGATACACGGCAACTACACAACCACAGCATCTACGGGTAGTTAGAAAGCCTTTGTTATGCTGAGGTCACATTCACGGCGGTCACTACGGCATTCTTTCCCATTGCTAGGCGCGTTCTAAAAAGTATCTGGTTACAAGACGCTATTTTGGCCTGTTTTGGACTACCCGTAAAACACTTGAAAATTAACAAAAATGATTCAATAGTAAATTTCGTCAAATTAAAATGAAATTATTCTATTAACATTCTTTTAATATTAGCTGTTTATGTTAAATCATTGATTTTGCAAAATTTTCTCTCTGAAAGACGATTTTTTCGGGTTTCCGACCACAAGTCATGTCATGTTTTTAGGCAAACATCGTTTATACCTGGCTACGTATATTACCCCAGATCCCCGATTTTTATATTTTTCAACGACTGGGAATAAGATCAAAAATCGTGTTTTAGGGATTTTTTAATTTCTGATTTTATGTCTAGTTTTTGTCGACATTTTTTGTGAAAAAATTGATTTTTTTACATTTTTCGCAGTAAATTACCCATAATTCAAAATTGAGGCCATTTTTCAAAAATCCCTAAAACACGGTTTTCGGGACAACCGTAACGGTCATTTTGAGCCGTGTATGGGGTATGTTTGACTCTCCATGCTTGCAGGTTAAAACGAGTTTTGCAGACATGTCATGTCGACCAAAAGGCTGCATTGTGTTATTCATACTGGTGTAAAGAATCATTACAGTATTCAAGGTCACCCAAGGATACGACAGTAGCTTCGCTACATGCTACATGTCCACAAAAAAATGATAGCGGACATGTAATGTCCAGTAAACTGTTTAAAATAACTGTCTAATGCGCCTTCAGGATCTTTAAGAAAACAACGCCACCGCCTTCTGGAACTTACTTTAAAGAATTAAAAAATTATGAAAGGGTACACCAAGAAGATCTACCAACGGACACTTGGGTTGAGCACTTTAAAAACATCCACAACAAATGCAGACTAAAACAGAAAAAAACTCTTTAACTTTGAAAAAGTTACTACTAAAAACATTCTACGCCAAGTACTCCAGAAATGTAAGTCAATCCCAGGCCTCTAGATAACCCAATTACGGTGTCTGAAATCATCGACGCAATACACACCTTAAAAACAACAATAACACAAAAAAGCCAGCGCAGGGGACATGGTCATCAATGGAATACTTAAAGCAGGAAAACGAATTTTACTGACCCCTCTATTAAGAAAGTTATATTGTCCCCATTTTTAATGGGCGAAAAAAATGACCCATATAATTATCGTGGGATGGCCATTATCAGCTGCTTAGGAAACCTTTTCTCCTCAATACTAAACAAAAGACTGTCAACCTTCTTTGAAGAAAATGAAATCATGAAACCAAACCAAACAGGATTCAGAAAAAAACTACAGGACATCAGATAACATCGTCATATTGTAAACTTATATCTAAACACACACGGTCTGCATGGAAACGCTTATTCGCTTGTTTTGTCGACCTATCAAAAGCCTTTGATTACATTTGGCATCAGGGATTGCTATTTAAACTTTTCTCAAACGGCATTTCAGGCAAACTCTTCGACATAATCAAACACTTAGACAACCAGTCCGAAGCAAGTGTCAAAACTAGGAATGGCCTAAGCGAAACCTTTCCTCTTAAAATCGGTGTCCGGCAAGGGTGTATTTTTAGCCCCAACGTAAACTTCCGTAGTAGTACACTAATGCCCGGTAGAAATGTCGTTCTCAGTCGGGTTGTAAGATAACTTGGCCCCGCGACCCTGGTTACGTGCCCTGGCGATTTCGTGAAGGATGTTTCGTGTGAGAAATCACATTCGATCTATGCCGAAGTGGGCGCACTGGTAACGGAAAGGCATGGTGCATACCATCGGTAATGCTTAGGTCACAATTCAAGAAAGGGGCCCGCTCGGCGCGTGTTCGGCGTGTTTTTTGGCACTACCGAACGGGACCTGGACGGAGACCGGCGGGCTTCCCGACGGCTGCCGGCCTATTTTTGGCCCCGCGCGGTCGCCGAATCGATTTTAACTCAGAGTTAAAAACACTTCGGGCCCCGTTCGGCGAAATACGCCGAAGCGACGCCGTAACCTCACTGCCCGGGACCCGTCAGGCGGCCGAACAGGCACCTGCCTAAGATTATGACGTCACATGTGCTGATCAGTGCATCAGATGGTCAGGAAAAGGGGATTATAGGGAGCATATATAAACTCCTGCCTCAGACTACGTCGCACAGTTCACCACGTGTGTGTTACTTCGTGTACTTGTGTGTGTTACACCTTGTATTTGTGTGTCAGAATGTCGAAGGGCAAGGGAAAACAGCCGGCACAGCTCTCTTGCCAACTTCATAAAACAGATCATAACAGGAATAGAATGTGTCTGACATTATCTGAGATTGAGGATGAGTATCATTTCGTAGTCAATTGTACATTATATAGTAATGAGAGAGATTCCCTATATTCTTATATAATAGATAAGTTCCCCAGCTTTGCACATTTAAATGAATCAGAAAAATTCCTATTTCTTATGAAACTTGACAAACCATGTATCACTAATTCTATATGCTCGTACATCTATAACTGTGTCAAGAAGCAAGAAGAAGTCGAACAATGTAAATAGTAGATCACATTAGTATGTATAGTTCAAGTATCATTGCTGTATCCATTTCCTTGCCTATCCATGACCTGTACTTAGCTTGTTAGAGCACAAACGTACAATAAAGGTCTTTCATTCATTCATTCATATTATCTCTTGTTACATCATATGCCTTCGTAATAAAATGGAATCAGAAGTTATTGGCATTTATTTTCAGTCCAAATTTCAACAGAAGTAACGATATTCAGTGGTTTTATTGCTGAATAGCAAGGAGCTGCCACGGCACACTTCCTGCGTCACTGCTGAAGTACTTCCTGCGTCACTGTTGAAGTACTTTCGAAAGTAGGCCCTCGGTTACTTTTGCGACGCACCAGTTCTGCCTGCCTCTCTTCTTCAGCTACCAATGCCAGAAGACCTACATGTAGGTTGTCACCAATCTCAATCTCAGACGGGCTTGTAAGTTGTTTGCAGGTTGCACTGAACGCTGCATCGCCAACTTCAGTCTACTCTTTACTTGACGTGTACTCTTTACTTGAAGTGAACGGTAGCAGGCAGTGCAGCGCTTATATATGTACCTGCTCAAAAACACGAGAGGAGCCCGTCGGGATCCCGCCAGGAACCCGCCAGGGACCTGACAGCTGCCCGGCCGAACTGTAAGAGCCGGTCGGCACCCTACCACACGCCGTACGGGTCAAGACGGGCGACTGACCGGGCACCGGACGGGTCCCTGACAGAAACCGGCCGCAAAAGTTTATGAATATTAATGAGAGCCGCCGGCCGGAGCACAAGCAGGCCCCGACAGGGAGCCGTAAAGGAACATTTAATTGTGACCCTGACAGTACGGCGCACGCTCGGCGTCATGACGCCGGCCGGCGTCTACGCCGAGGACATGCCGAACGGGTGCCGTTTCAAATGTGACCTAAGCATAAGTGAGCGCGAATAACTCCGCGCGCCTGGATGCGCGCCCTGCTAAATTTGTGATGTTATACATAAAACATGTGCCAGAACCATGGTTCCTTTTCCTGTTTAAGACATTATGAAGAAACTTGTACTTACCACAACAGTCGCCCCTGTTCAGGACGCTGACCCGGTTGACTGGGTAGGTGCCTCCTAAGTCCACCTTCCACCACGGCTGGTACACGTGGTTAGTGTGAGTGCACTGATTGTACCAGGTTACCCTCGTACCCCTGGAACCGTCTACAGCCTTCTCAGGTCCCCAGTGTGATGGAGCAGAACTACAACTTGCCGTCTTGCGAAGAGCGACGTTGCTTTCTGCAGGGAAACACAAGCGAAAAATAAGGGCGCCTGAATTTTTACCTCTGTATCTTATTTTTTTAATAATCAAGTAATAAATATAAGTGGGGCATGGTGTTACCGAACTGACAGAAGGTTGAATTGGAGATCAGGATGGTCATGTTGTAGGCTGGGAATAAGTGGCATTGGATGGGGGGGGGGGGAGTGGGTCAAAATGGAAATAAGTGTTTTTGTGAATTCTAAGTCACGCGTTTACCTGGTGGTATTTATATGCCAATTATAAAGCCAAGAATCCCACAAATCCAACCTTGAACCTTGAACCTGTACATCTCAAATCCAAATTTGTTCATTAAATGGTCACTCAGGGATCACTGTCTAGTTTAAAGAAGAATAATTTGAGGAAAATTGTAGAACTTTCTAACAAACCGTATTCCCACCTGTGATACAGCGGTATGATACCTCCAAGTACTTCTGCACTCCGTAACAAGGGTCTCCACCGAAAACGCTGCTACTCGCTGTCACTGAGCACTGCCGCTTGCCCTGACAGGCGGCCCTCACCACGGCCAGGCTGGTGGCCGCGCGGCAGTTGGTGCGACAGGTGGAGCAGGCACAGGAGTGGGAGGCGGTCGTCCTGCCGTAGTTCGCCTCCACGATCAACAGCGTCTTTCTGTCCGAGCAAGACAGCTGTAGGGTGCCCCTCTCGCAGGTGAAGGCTGTTTCTGTGTCAACGTTTGTGTATCAATGTCAGGTGAGTAACTTGGGTGAAATATTTTCCCCTTACTCACAAGAAAACGGCGGGATGGCTTTTATAGACAACCCTGATCCTAAGGTACGAGTAATTCATTTTTTTACATTAACATGTATTTGTTGGATCACCTGTCTTAATCTAAAGAGAAAAAAAAGCAAAAGAGAATCCTAGCCTACCAACTAATCAATGTTTTTTTCAGAAAGCGGAGACATTACATGGTTTTCCTATGCCTTACCTGTGTGTTGACACCACAGAAACAATACTTAGCCAATTTAAAAGTGGATATTTTTTCATAAATCAACACAAAAATGTCTAAACAAATGTCTATAAAAGGGGAAATGACGTTAAGAATCTTACCATGCTCGGGGGCAGTGGTGAAGACGAGTCTCTGTCCCAGGGAGTACAGCCGGGTGTTTCTCACCTCCACTCTCGCCTCTTCAACCTTCGCCGTCACCTCTGACAGTAGACCTAGTGAACATCGTACATGAAAACACGTACATTGTAAAAAAAATCCGATACAAGTAAGCTTTCGTAGCGAATGATGTGCATTTAAACCTATAATTTTCTTATTATAAGAAAAAAGTCCTATGATCCCCCCTTCCTTAGGCCAGAAATTGTTCAAGCCTCAATTGTAAATGTTAATAAGTTATGGCCTTAAGAGTCATTGCATGAGAAAACCAGGCAAACATCACCAAAACCCGGAACATAGGGGTCAGCCAAATCCGCTCATATTTTGTATGTGGGATAGGTATGGGGAAGTATTAACAGCCATATGATTAAAACTCCCTGGGTGTGTTTTGTATCAGAGTTCTGGAGACCCCCTTGGAGACCCTCAAAATCCCCCATATTTCGTATCAAAATTATGAAAATTACGATCGCTGCCCCGCAATTTCTATCAGAGAAAACAATATTGCTGTTTGATTTCCATATATACCTATGTCTTACGTCTTTCATAACAAAATTTGGGACTTGGGCATTGATGTTTAAAGGGTGTACATGGGGGTTGAAAAGAACCATTAAAAGCAGAATTTTGGCATCTTAAATTTTAGTCATTTTTATGAGGCATTAACTCCGACTCACAGTGGCTTTGGTGAACACTTTTACTTTTTCTGGATAGAGGAACATCTACTTAGTAAAAAACAATTGTCATTGACGTGGGACACACATACTGGGAGTCGTGGGAGGAGGGTCTTTTGGGGGATTTTCGTTTTAAAAAAATGGTTCAAGAAGAAATGGCATGTGATTGCACAGAGAGATTTAGCCGGATCTTTACCCAACTGAATAAAAACTATGCAGATGCAATATGAATACTACCACAATGCAAAGAAAGT